GTGCCTGGGTGGCTCAGTTGGTTAAGCGACTGCCTTCGGCTCAGGTCATGATCCCGGAGTCCGGGGATCGAGTCCCACATCGGGCTCCCTGCTGAGTGGGGAGTCTGCTTCTCCCTCTGACCCTACAACCTCTTGGGCTCTCTCTCTCTCTCTCTCTCTCTCAAATAAATAAATAAAATCTTAAAAAAAAAAGAATGCCATTATTTTACTAATTTCCATGAGCAGAGCTCCCCCTGCAAACACATAACACATGCAATATCCTTTTAGGTTTATTCTGTTTCTCCTAGAACTCTTCAGCTCTTAGTGCAAGAAAATTGAATCAATTATTCATTCATTTATTCAACAACTATTTACTGATAATAGATAAGCAAGAAAGAATAAGTTCAACAGTAAAATAGGGTTTTTCAAAAATATTGAGTGAAAAGAGCAAATGCAAAGAAGATACATACAAATATAATGCCATTTCATAAATTCATAGGAGTTGTGTCTGTAATGTTTCTTTAAATAAAAAACAAAGAAGTATGGTAAAATGTTAACATCTGTTAGGTCTGAGTATCTAAGTGTCTATATTTGGGTTCTGTTATACTTTTTTCTAAACATTGTATATTTGAAATATTTTATACTTAGGCATTTTTAATTTTTAAATTAATAAAACAAGCAATATGATAGGAAGTGATAGGGACTATTTTAGATTGGTCGATTAGGGAGGATCTTTCTAGGGAGGTGACACTGAGGTCTGAATAACGGTACCTAGATCCAAACCCACCCCCTCCCCCAAGGTGGTGTTAGTGGTATTGGTAGTGGTAATACTGATAATTTTTTTAAAGATTTTATTTATTTATTCATGAGAGACAGAGAGAGAGAAGCAGACTCCCAAGGAGCAGGGAGCCCGATGTGGGACTCGATCCCAGGACCCTGGGATCATGACCTGACCTGAAGGCAGACGCTTAGCCATCTGAGCCACCCAGGCGCCCCTAATAATTTTTATATAACATCTGTTGAATATGTATTTTATTTGCCAGGCATTGTGCTGAACACATTATTTCAGTTGATCCTTCTAACAACTCTTGAGTTGATACTCATTTTTTCTTTTAAAAATGGAAAGACAGATGCTTAAAAAGCTATCATTAAAGCAACAACAACAAAAAAGCATTTCACCCTAACAATGAAAATGTGACTTTCTGAGGTAGGCTAGAATATTCATTGGTAAAAGCAATTTTTACTCACAGAAAAAAATGAAGAGAAAGTATTCCAGGGAGGGAAACAGCTATTGCTATAGACCTGAGGTAGACGCAAGCATAACATGTTCAAGGAAAGAAGGACAGCTTAGCCTATGCTGTTGTTACCACAGCATAACTGGTAAATGGTCATTTACTCCCTGAATACTTATGTTGAAGGAAGCTCACCACTTTCAGACTTACCTTATTCTTACACAGAGTTTTTTTTTTCCCATGTAGGACTTACAGACTGATGGGGTCATATTAAAGGGCACAGAAGCTGGCTTAAGGGTTTCTCAGTGGCCAAGTTGGGGACAGTGTGAGCACCAGTAAGAACCATGAAGTGATGGATTATAATATATGTCTTTAAAAATCATAATTTCTTAGTGAAACTCAGAGAGAAAGAAGCTTCTCTTTATAGAAGAATGCCAGATGAGGTAGGAAGAATGGTAGAATTAGAAAATGTCTGGCAAATCCCAATGTAATTTTGATTCAGGCAAGAGATACTCCATGGATGCTAAAATTTTGGGATGAAAGGCTGTTAGAGGATAAGATATTCATACAGTTTCAGTGTATCACTCCATGATTACTTACTATAAAGGAAGGAATGTACCTTTAAAATGGAGAGATCTGTCAGTTACTGCCTTAACCCGGTGATCAGACTTGGTATTATGTGTTTTCTTGTGTGATGCAGTAAGTACCCAGCATCACCTACACAGTATCCCTGCCAGAAATGTTAAACTGGAACCTAATCATGAGGAAACATTAGAAAAATCCAGAATGTGGGGCAATTTATGAGACAACTAGATTGGATTTGTCAAAAATTCAGTGTCATGAAAACAAGATTGTGAGGTGCTCTATGCCAAAGTATTTAGGAATGAAGTGATATTTTTTCTGCAGTTAACTTTCAAATAGTTCATCAAAAAATAATGTGTGTATATGTATGTTTAGAGAGATAGGGAGAAAGCAAATAATAGTTGGTGAACCTAGGAAGTGAAAAGTTGAGTGTATGTGTGTTCATTGTACTATTCTGAAAAATTTACAGATTTTTAAATATTCAGAATTATAAACTGAAGAGGATACTTAACTGTTTTGAACTCAAATCCAACTTTTTAATATTTTTGCCCATTGATTTAATTGCGCTATTTGAAGCCACTTTAATAGATCCAAATCCCCCCCGCCCCCAATTTGGTGTTAGTGGTATTGGCAGTGGTAATACTGATAATTTTTACATTACATCTGTTGAATATTGCATTTTATATGCCAGGCCTTGTGCTGAACACGTTATCTCAGTTGATTCTTCTAACGGCTCTTGAATTGGTACTCATTTCTTCTTTTTAAAGATGAAAAGACAGATGCTTAAAAAGCTATCATTAAAGAAACAACAAAAAAAGCATTTCATCCTAAGAATGAAAATGTGAATTTGTGACGTAGGCTAGACTATTCATTGGTAAAAGCGAGTTAGAAAAATTTGTGATAAAGTCACTAGGCGTGCATATTTTTCTGGCCTTGAACTTGTTCTACATACAACCTGCCGTTAAGAAGCAATCTTCGAAGTCTGAGCCCCACATGGGGTGTAGAGATTACTCAAAAATAAAATAAATATTTTTTAAGTTTTTATTTATTTATTTGACACAGAGAAAGCACAAGCAGGGGGAGCGGCAGGCAGAAGGAGAGGGAGAAGCAGGCTCCCTGCAGAGCAGAGAGCTGGATGTGGGATCATGACCTGAGCTGAAGACAGATGCTTAACCAACTGAGCCACCCAGGTGCCCCCAAAATAAAATATTAAAAAAAAAAAAAAAAGGCAATCTAGCGTGGTAGTAAAGAGCACACAGTCCTTGAAGCTAGAATGCCTAGGGTCACATTCCAGCTCCGCATTTACAAGTTATTGCTGCCTGAGAAGCACTTCTCCAGAATTTCATATTGGGAACCCCTATGTATTGGTTTTCTATTGTTGCTGTAACAGATTACTACAAACTTGGTGGCTTGAAACAACACAAATTTATTATAATTTTGAGGGGTCAGAAGTCCAAAATAGGTCTTGGTGAAAATCAAAGTATTAGCAGGACTGGCATTTTCATCTGGAGGCTCTAAATGAGAATGATTCTTTGCCTTTTCCAGTTCCTACAGGCCTCCCACTTATTGACCTTCTTCCCGCAAACCAACAATATATTTTTCTGTGCCTTTCTTCCATAGTAACATCTCTCTCTGACTCTTATCATGTTCTGCCTCCTCCTTCTACTTTTAAGAACAATGGTGATTACATTGGACCCACCCAGATAATCCAGAATAATCTCCCTATTTTAAGATCACCTGATAAGCACAACTCAACACAAACCCCAAATAATACAATTAAAATGGGCAGAGGACCTGAATAGGCAGTTTTGCAAAGACATATAGATGGCAAACAGATAAGAGGAAAAGGTGCTCAACATCACTCATCATCAGGGAAGTACAAATCAAAACCACAATGAGATATTACCTTACATCTGTCAGAATGGCTAGAGTCAAAAAGACAAGAAATAACAAGTGTTGGTGAGGCTATGGAGGAAAAGGAACCCTCATGCACTGTTGGTGAGAATGTAAATGGGTACAGCCATTGTAGAAAATAGTATGGAGGTTCCTTTAAAAATAGAAATACCATATGATCCAATAATTCTATTACTGGGTATTTACCCAAAGAAAATGAAAACACTTCATTCAAAAAGATATATGCACCCCTATATTTGTTACAACATTATTTACAATAGCCAAGATATAGAAGCAAGTGTCCACTGGTAAATAAATGGATAACGAAGTCACACACACACACACACACACACACACAGGAATATTCCTCAGCCACAAAAAAAAGAATGAGATCTTGCCATTCATGACAACATGGATGGACCTAGAAGGTATTGTGCTAAGTGAAATAGGTCAGACAGAGAAAGACAAATACCATTTGATTTACCTTATATGTGGCATTTAAAAAACAAAAAGCAGAGACAGACATAAATACACAGAACAAACTGATGGCTGCGGGAGGGGAGGGATCTGGGAGATGGGCAAAATGATGGAGGGGAGTGGGAAATACAGGCTTCCAGTTATGGAATGAATAAATGATGGAGGTAAAAAGTCCAGCATAGGGAATATAGTCAGTGGTATTGAAATAGCATTGTATGGTGACAGATGGTAGCTACACTTGTGGTGAGCATAATATAACATAGACTTGTGGAATCACTGTTGTACACCTGAAATTAATGTAACATTGTGTGTCAACTATACTTCATTAATAAAAAAATTTTTTTTAAAGATCAACTAGTAAGCTACCTCAATTCTTCTTTGCATGTAACCTAACATTCACAGGTTCCAAGGATTAAGGCATAGACATCTTTGGGGGATGATTTTTCTGCATTCACATCCACGTTTTAAATTCTAAAAGTTGCATCAGGCAGCTGGGGCCGGGAGAAGATGATTCCGAAGTAGAGATACTGGCTAATGCTGAGAATTATGAGTAGGACCAATAATTGGGTGTAAGCTAAAAGGAACTACTGAGCAGTATATGTACATGTTTTAAAATTCTCTTACTGGCATAAGGTATATACGGTAGATTCAGTATTCAAGAGTGATTGAATTAGAAGGAAGCAACTAAGTTTTAGTTATATGGCAGGGAAAGATTAAAATATTAGAATAGATTTTATTTCTATTGTTTTGTGCCAGTCCTCAGGAAAATGATCTTGATTCAGTTACAACTTTGGAGAAGCTTTGCGTTTAATTTTAATTTTTGTATTTTTATTACAGATTTTTATGACGCTTGGATGCTACTCCTGACATGGAGAAGATTGAGGAACAGTTTGCTAATCTGAACATTGTTAAACGTTCCTCAGAAACTAAAGAGCCTGCTTACTTGCTTAGTATAGCTACATCAAAAGCTGTACAAGGAGAAAAAGAAAACTTTGTTGCTGTTTTATGTTCTAATGGATCAATCAGAATATATGATAAAGAAAGGTTAAACATACTACGAGAATTTAGTGGATATCCTGGGCTTCTTAACGGAGTTAAATTTGCAAATTCTTGTGACAGTGTATATTCATCATGTACCGATGGCACTGTAAAGTGTTGGGATGCTCGATTAGCCAGTGAAAAACCTGTCCAGCTGTTCAAGGGTTACCCTTCCAATAGTTTTATTAGTTTTGATATCAACTGTAACGATCATGTCATTTGTGCTGGTACAGAAAAAGTGGATGATGATGCATTGTTGGTATTTTGGGATGCAAGAATTAATTCTCAGGATTTGTCTACTACTAAAGACCCACTTGGAACATATTCAGAGACTCATAGTGATGATGTCACTCAAGTGTGCTTCCATCCCAACAATCCCAACATGGTAGTCTCGGGTTCAACTGATGGCCTGGTAAATGTATTCGATATTAGTGTTGATAATGAAGAAGATGCACTGGTTACAACCTGTAACTCCGTTTCATCAGTAAGCTGTATTGGTTGGTCTGGGAAGGATTATAAACAGATTTACTGCATGACGCATGATGAAGGATTTTGTTGGTGGGATCTTAATCATCTGGATACTGATGAACCAATTACATGTTTGAACATCCAGGATGTCAGAGAAGTAGTTAATCTGAAAGAAGGTATTTTGGACTATTTAATTGGTGGCCTATATCATGAAAAAATGGACAAATTGTTTCTTGTTGGAGGAACAAACACAGGAATTATTCACTTGATGAGCTGCACTATATCAGGATTGATCCATGTGACCAGCCTTCGTGGAGGGCATGCTGCTACAGTCCGTTCTTTCTCTTGGAATATGCAGGATGATTCTTTGCTAACCGGAGGAGAAGATGCACAGTTGTTACTTTGGAAACCTGGAGCAATAGGGAAGACATTTACAAAGAAAGACAGCATGAAAATAGCATCCTCTGTGTCCCAGCGAGTTCGAGTTCACAGTAATGATTCTTACAAGAGAAGGAAAAAGCAGTGATGTTATGTTGGGAGTTTACTTGAGAGGCTTTATAGTTACGAGTAGTTATTTTTGTGTACTACCTGTGATAGATATGTTTAAAGCTTATATGTAAAAACAAGCCAGTTAGCAAACAATCCTGGAAAAATGTTGGAAATGGTTTAATTCAGGTCTTCATGTATTCTAAAATTATTTTTTTTAAAGCTGCCAGTTGAGTATATAATCAGTGAGTTGAAAGTAAAATTACATTCCTCATTTTTAAAACCCATCTGTTGAGTTAGTAAATGTTGGGTTTAAAGAAATAGCTTTGATAAGGACTTTTTAGAAGTAGATGGCTGGTGTGACTTTAAAAAAATCAGGTGGTTTGAGCTATGTGTTTTAAATTCAGTTTTTTTTTTTTTACATTTTAAATCATCTTCATTATTTATAAAATCAAATCAGACTGTTTTCTGTAGGAGCTCCCACTTGCTTAATACACATAGATTATGTTGGAGTATTTAAATGTAAATATTCTAATGATTCTAAATAGAACTAAAGTTTTTTAGAAATAAAATGATTTGCATCTATTTAAGAAAAATATATTTAGTATATATTTGCATCTATCTGTCTGGATAGATTTTTTTTTTTAAGTAGGGTCCACGCTCAGCGTGGAGCCCATTGTGCGGGACTTGAACTCACAACCCTGAGACCATACCTTGAACTGAGATCCAGAGTCAGATGCTTAACAGACTGTGCCACCCAGGCACCCCATTTGCATCTATACTTTTAAACAGTTAAAAACAGGCAGATATTTCATTGATGAAATGGAAATTATCTTGCAAAATTCATTTTGAGATTTGAAGGGAATATACAAAAACAAAAGTATTTATAATAGCAGAATGACTTTTTATTTCAAAATATTCTACTATTTTATGATAAAATTTTCTTTCATGGTGTTTCATCCATAATTTTAAACTTTGGTGCCCATGGGGAGTGGGGGCCATGCAGGAGGTGCTGCTGGAGAAAGGAGGACACCATAATTTTAAACTTGAATTTTTGTTGACTGACGGTTTTTTCATCCTTACTGTTAAATATTTTTCCAAAGAATTTTTTTTTTTTAAGATTTTATTTATTTCACAGAGAGAGACACAGCGAGAGCGGGAACACAAGCAGGGGGAGTGGGAGAGGGAGAAGCAGGCTCCCCACTGAGCAGGGAGCCCGATGTGGGGCTCGATCCCAGGACCCTGGGATCACGACCTGAGCCAAAGGCAGACGCTTAATGACCGCTTAATGACCGAGCCACCCAGGCGCCCCTCCAGAGAATCTTAATTAAAAAGTTGGTTACTTGGGGTGCCGGGTGGCTCAGTCGGTTTAGCATCTGCCTCTCGATGTCTCAAGTTGTGATCTCAGGGTTGTGAGACTGAGCTGCACAATGCTCCATGCTCAGAGCAGAGTCTGCTTGTCCCTCTCCTGCACCTCCCCAGCTCCCGCATGTGCGCTCGCTCTCTCTCTCTTTCTCTCAAATAAGTAAGTAAAACCTTTAAAAAAAAGTTGGTCACTCTAAAGGTTTGGTATGTTTTCTTATGTTTAATTACAAATAAAAATATCTTTTTATAGATAAGAATATTTATGAAGATACTGTAAAACATTTTTTATCTTTTGAACTAAAAATATTGTCATGAAAAATATAAACATTACTTTAGAACCTTTTACATTTCTCTTTAAATGTTAATGACTTATCTCGGACACCATAGCACTAGGGGAAATAGTATTCTACAGCACAGTGCAACTTACATGTAGGTATGATCCAGCTTCACTCACTTGAGAGGGAATAATAGTTAAGTCACTGTTAAACATACTCAAAATAAATAATTCTCTCTTTTTTTTAAGATTTATTTATTTATTTTAGAGAGAGCATGAGCAGGAGGGGCAGAGGGAGAAGGAGAGAATCTCTAGCAGACTTAATACTGAGCGGGGAGCCCGAGGTGGGGCTTGATCTCATGACCCTGAGATCATGACCTGAGCCAAACTCTAGTTAGAGGCTTAACCAACTGAGCCACCCAAGTGCCCCTCAAAATATGTAATTCTTATTTGAAAAGATTCACCTATTCTTGCTGTTGTTCAAATCATGAACCTGAGGTTAATTCTGGATTTTTTTCTTTTCTCCTATTTAGTCAATCACCAAGTCCTGTGCCACTCCACCTCCTAGAATCTGTCTGCTGTTCCTTTGCCTTTACCCCGCCCCCGCCACTAGTGCCTTAGATAAGATTTTCATCATTTCTCTCCTAGATTACAGACCCTGGCTCTAATCTGCTCCAATTCATTCTTCCCACTATTTCTAGGCTGAATGTAGAAAACAGATTTGATAATGTCTCATGCTGCTTAAAATCTTTGGTACATTTTGATCTTTTGATGGAGCACTATGTAAAAATGAAAAACCATGTTTTTAAGATACTTAGGATATGAGATAATGCTGACTATGTAAGTAGAAAAGCTGTATAAAAAGACTTGGAGACATTGCATTTATAAAACAACAGGAAATGAAACAGTTTTTAAAACAGTAAAACTTTAAAAAATATTTAAAATTTAAAAGTAATTAATAGAGGGCACCTAGGTGGCTTGGTAGGTTGGGTGTCAGACTCTTGATTTCGGCTAGGGCATGATCTCAGGGTTGTGAGATCAAGCCCTGTGTCGGGCTCCCTGCTGAGTGTTCTTTCTCTCCCTCTCCCTCTGCCCCTCTGCCCTTCTCTCTCCCTCCTCCTGGCCCCCACCAAAAAAGTAATGAATAGAGTTGGAAGATACAGGTGAGAAAATACCTTTGAAAATAGACCTCAAAGAGAGAGAGAGTGAGAGAAAAGATTAAAGCCACAGAAGATAAATATAGGGGTCTAATATCAGATTATCGGTTTTTACAATGTGAAAAAAAATGTAAAGGTTGGAGTTGTAATGAAATAACACTAGAGACTATCCCCAGAACTCTAATCTTCAGATTGAAAGGCCCAACAGAGTGTCAAGTATAATAAATGAAAAAGACCCACACCAAGGCATAGTACTCTGAAGTGTCAGAACTCCAAGAACAAAGAGAAAATTTTTAAAATTTCCAAAGGAAGAAGGGGGAGGAAGCAATCACTTAGGTAGAAGGATAACATGTGAATTAGACTCTTTTTTTATTTTAATTTTTTTACGATTTTTAATTAATTTATTTGAGAGAGAGAGAGAGAATGAGAGATAGCACGAGAGGGAAGAGGGTCAGAGGGAGAAGCAGACTCCCCGCTGAGCAGGGAGCCTGATGCGGGACTCGATCCCAGGACTCCAGGATCATGACCTGAGCCGAAGGCAGTCGCTTAACCAACTGAGCCACCCAGGCGCCCCGTGAATTAGACTCTTCATTAGTAAATCTGGATGACACAAAATGGTGAATCAAAGTTCCAACTTCTGAGGACAATTTCCTGCTATCCGAACTTAAGCTCTCCAAACTCATGAAGCAAATATATGGCAATAAATTTTTTGAGACATCCCTTGCTCAGTGAACGTTTTTTCCTTGCTCTCTGAAACTCAGGAACCAAATTTATTTCCCTAACAGAATATCCATTGCTAACCACACTCATTGGCCACTGAGGAATTTAAAATTTTGGATTTTAGGAGATAATTGCTTTTCAACCTTTAATTCTATAGGTCTATTGCCCCCACATGTGAGGTTTAAAACTTTACTTTCTATGCAGGTTTTGAAAAAGGATACTGGAGGATGTAGTCTACAAAGAATAAAGGAGTAAATCAAGGAAGACAAGAGATACCAGGAATCGGGGCACCAACCCGGCATAGTGGCAGGATAACAGCTTTGCAGCAGGCCCACAGTATTCAGTCCAGGTTGGAAAAAGAGGACATCAGCTACCAGGAGGGAGAAGTCCAGGGAGAAAAGTGAACTTGACAGGTTTCCCAATGCATCTGACCATGTGGAAAATAGAATAAGTGCCTTAAACCCACCAATTAAAAAAGACCCTCCTATTAAAAATCATCTAAAAACAAAAGTTTTTAAAAGATTAAAAATAGGGATACCTGGATGGCTCAGTTGGTTAAGCACCTGCCTTCAGCTCAGGTCATGATCCCAGGGTCCTGGGATCAAGTCCCACATTGGGCTCCCTGCTCAGCGGGGAGCCTGCTTCTCCCCCTCCCACTCCCCCTGCTTGTGCTCGCTTGCTCTTTCTCTCTCTCTAACAAAATCTTAAAAAAAAAACTAAAAAAAAGTAAAGGATGAGGAAAGGTATACCAACCCACAGAATGGGAAAAAATATTTGCAAATAATATATCAGATAAGAACTTGCATTCAAAACATTTTTAAAATGTTACCACTCAATGATAAGAGAAAGCAATTTTTGAAATGATCAAGGATCTGAATAGACATTTCTCGAAAGAAGATACAGAAATGGTTAGTAAACACACACACAAAGATGCTTAACGTTATCGGTCATCAGGAAAATGCAAACCAAACCACAATACCACTTCACACCCACTGGGATGGCTATAATCCAAACAACGTTGGTGAGCTTATGGGGAAATTGAAAGTTTCATACACTGCTCTGCTGTTAGGAATGTAAAATAGTATGGCTACAGTCCGGCCGTTCCTCAGTAGTTGCTGTTTGACCCAGCCGTTCCAAATTAGGTATATGCTGCAGAGAATTGAAAGCATAAGTCCACACAAGAATTTGTACATGAGTGCTCATAATAGCATCATTCATAGTAGCCAAAGGTGGAAATAATCCAAATAACCATCAATTGATGGAGGGGTAAATTATGGTATATCCATAAATGGAATATTATTCAGCCAAAAAAAAGAAGTGCTAATACATGCTCCAACTCAGATGAATCTTGAAAACATGCTGTGTAAAAATAGCCACAAAAGACCAAATTGGATGATCTCATGTACATCAAAAGTCCAGAATAGTCATATAGTCTATAAAGAAAAAGAAGAAGAACAACAACAAAAGAACATATATTCGTGGTTACCTAGGGCTGGGAGGTGGGAGGAAAATGGGAGGGTTGGTGGATGTTTGTGGGGGGAGGGTGTGATGCAAACTGATGGTGATTATAGTTGCACAACTCTGAATATAGTAAAAACCATTGTGGGGCACCTGGGTGGCTCAGTCGTCAAGCCTCTGCCTTTGGCTCAGGTCATGATCCCAGGGTCCTGGGATCGAGCTCCGCATTGGGCTCCCTGTGCCGCAGGAAGCCTGCTTCTCCCTCTCCCACTCCCCCTGCTTGTGTTCCCGCTCTCGCTTGTCTCTCTCTATCAAATAAATAAAATCTTAAAAAAAAAACATTGTACACTTTATTTCTTTTGTATTGTACACTTAAAATAAATGAATTTTACCCAAATGAAGTTATTACCAAAAATATATATATACCAGACAAATATGAATCAAAAAACCAGGGTGGAATTGGTATTTTTTTTTTAAGATTTTATTTATTTGAGAGAGAGAGAGAGAGCACAAGTGGGGTCAGGGGCAGAGGGAGAAGCAGACTTTCTGCTGAGCAGGGAGCCTGACCTGGAGCTCAATCCCAGGACCCTGGGATCATGACGCAAGCCGAAGGCAGATGCTTAAACAACTGAGCCACCCAGGCACTCCTTG